TATTTCGTGGCCTCTTGTTCGTCAGCCATAGTTGCTTCCACTCGTATATCTGCTTCGTATAAGAAGACATTGCCTTTTTGTAGAATTTCTGACGGATTGTTTCCGTGCGGACAGACTCCCAATTGAATTCTTGCTACAAAACAAACATGACATAATTAGTAAAATATATAAAAAATCAAAATAGAAATACGCTTAAAAAATAAGTTTAATAAGTATTACCGCGAATTGGCGAAACCACAACTCGCGTTCTTCTAGAGGGATCACACTCCACTCGAACCTGTTTTGTCGGTAATACGTCGGAAAATTCCGACGAAATTCCGACGACGTCGATTTAGTGGTTTTGGTCGGTATGTCGTCGGAATATCGTCGGAATTTTCCGACCACATATGTTTCCGTCGGAATGTTCGTCAGGATTTCCAGTGTTTTCTTGTAGTGATGAGATCTATTGTTCAACTTAATTAGTTAATTGTTTAGGAGCGCGGATAACGATCAAGCACGTAGCTTAAGCTATTTATCTACGCCAAAAAGCTAGTATTTATCTAAAGCATTGCGCACGTTTCTTGTCTACGCCAAACAAATTCCAATCGAATCTACAATCTAAAGGTTTGTAATAATTCTCACAAATTTCTTTTCAGAAAAAAATAATTCTCACAAATTTGAGCTGATTAAATAAGATGAGTTGTTGTGAGCTACGAGGTCTTCTCACAACCAATTTTATTTAATTACGTTTCAATGGTTCATAATGTAGGCTCTGCATTCGACTTGTAACTACTATTCACGTAAACTCTTTGCCCAACTACAATAAAGTAAGATTGTTGAACTCTAAAGATCATGGTAACTTAGTACACAAGAAACAACGAAAAGATAAAATCTCAAAAAAATATAAAATAAATAAACATTGCAGCATCGCATGAACGATCTGCTTATTCTATAGGTTACAAATCCAGAAGTCCATCCCAAAATAATTCATTAAGAGGTAATAAAAAAAATAAGCATAGAATTGGGCTCAATCCTTTTTATTTTTTTGTTAAAGTGTTGGCTGAACCGGTGCTCGGTCGGCAGTACAGCAATACCATAGATAAACCGATATGAGTATGATCAATGCAGCGATGCCTGCGACAATGACGATGAGACCACGATCCATACTGTTTCTTCACCCACACGCACCAAATAAAAATTTTATTTCTAACTTTCTTTTCTGCGTTTTTTCTCTTTTTCTCGGGGTATTGTCCACACAGAGTTTACATTTAAATCGATGAAATATGCAAGTTTACATTATAGTTTGACATGAAGGAGAAAAAAATTATAAATAGTAATTTTAGATTATATTTTAAAAAAAAATTCTAGAAAAAATACACCAACTAAATTATTTTACCATTTTAGTATATTAACTAAATTTCTATTACCACTTCTAATATACCAACTTTTCTACACCCTAACAAATATATACCTTTTTCTATTTTAATTTGTCATAAAGAAGAAATAACAAGAAAAATGGAAATTTACTTTTTTAGGCAAAAAAATCCATAAGATACATCAACTAAATTCTATACCATTATAATATACTAGCTAAATTTATATTACCATTTTAATACACCAAATTTTGAACACCATAAGGGCCATAACCATAAATCAACTTTTCCATTTTAATCCACCGACCTACTCAACCGTCTATATCCATTTTAGGGCACAGCACTACATAGAGATCTTTCAGTTTCAGCACAAAGCCATTCTCAAAGACCTCTGTCTGCCACAAAACTTTTCCATTCTACAACATCACTATGTTGTTATATGACCAATGTGAGAAGCTTGACGGTCCAATGCAGTTCGACATAAGAGTTCATCTTCGCTTGATAAGACAACCTCATATTTGATTATTTAGGTTTGCAGGTGTAGTTTTGACAAAAAACTCGAGGATGGTGTTCAGAGTTGAGTAGAGAAAGCCATATTTAGCAAAAGCAAAGTAAACTTAGGATTCTCATTAACAGGAAGAAAGGGATCAGGTTGTTAAGATATGTCTTAAACAAAATCCACAAAACGCATCAAAAGGAAGAATCACATCAATATTAGATCTCCCACTTCTTGAGCTCCATACCATCCGGAGGAGTGCTCTCTATTGTCTTTCCTCCAACCTCTTTCCAGTTTGTCGACAGCACTGTCCCATTCGATTCAACCTGTCCAGAAACAGTAAATGAGTTAATCAAAAAGGATAAAAATTTTGTAGTCTCCATTAGCAAAGAGGACATAGATAGATACTCACAAAGGATTTGCTCATAGCACGTCTCATATCCTCATCAGCATTTGAATATATCTCACGGACGAACTTGTTCAAAGCAGCGTCTCCTTCCAGCTTCTCATCCTTCTCCTGTTTCTTTACTTCAGCTTCAAGCTTGTCCCAGTCTTTCACTTTCTTGGAAGAAGGATATGCCGGTCTCTTCGAAACTTCTGTGCACCATTATACAAACAACATAAAAGTTTCAGTGCTCTCACCAGATGAAACCTAAAGAACAAGAAGGAGATAAAAGGTAGAGAGACCTGTTGAGACGTTTGGCTTTGGCAAAACCGCTGGCCCTTTGCCGTGTTCAAGAGAGGCCCACGTGATGATCTCTGCTTTTGCAAGACGGATCTCAATTTTGGTTGATAGTACTTCATATCTGCACTTCTCTGGTACTATCTGAACACAGAAACAAAAGGGTCAATACAATGTGTTCAACTTAGAACACTGATTCGTTTGATAGATCAGTTACCTTTCCAAATAATCTCGGTTGGAGATGATACTGTTCCTCTCCAGGAACATCAATCACAATACTCAGCTGCAAAAATCACATAACAACTTTTAACAAATAGTTTACACAGAAGCCTCGTCATCTTAGAAAGTAGTATTGCTTACAATTTGTTCACCAAAGTCTATATTAACACTCTGTTTCGGTATCCCTTTTGCGAAAATAGTTACCACAACTTCTTCTGGCTTTTGGTAGTATTCGTGTCTGTTGAGCACTTGATATATGGTGTTTTTAGCATATTCTAACAATGTTTTCTAAAGTGTTTTTAAGTCTTTATCGAGTCTTTTTAGTCCTTTCTAAGTCATTACAGGTATGGAGTTGCTTTGGATGGAAGATGGACCAGTTGGAGAAAAAGAGTGCAATCTGGGAATTTTCACGCGGAACAGTCTGCAAACTGTTCCCGAGTGAGCGG